TTTACCGATTTTTCGAATATTCATAGAAAAATAATTTCTTTTATATATTTTTTGTGAAATAAATATCGATTGATTTAAATCTTTGTTATAAATTTAGTATTTAAGAGTTAAAAAGTAGATGTTTCCCAAAATTCATCCCTTTTACATTATTAAATTAATCCGCTTCTGAAAAAATTGTTAGATTAGGTTAGAAAACGCTAGAGCCCGCCAACACAACAGTTACCATTTTTTTCTACCAAAGTCTACCACAGCGAATATATTTCTACACAAATATACCGCTACCTCAAATCTCAAGGTTACGACAATATTGAATATTATTTAATTATTATAGTTACCAATAAAATTTATGTTGTTTATGCACAAATTATATTTATAAATTCGTTAGAACGTCGACAATTCGGTATGTTTTACGTCAGATTTAAACAAAAATCACGTTTTTCATGACTAAAAAGTTTTATAACTTTAAAACTGAGTATAAATCTCACGTAAAATATAGTTTTTGTCTATGGTTTATTATAATTCAGATATAATTAGTATTTAAGTGCTTCGCACATGTGATGTCTGTTTAAACGTGCAATAAGTTTAACTGAATAAAATCACTTACGCTTGAAGCTTTGAATACTATAATAGATTTAAATGACACGGCCATACTTACCAGTGACCACCTAATTTTGAAATAAATATTGGTTGTTTGAGATCATTTATTTGTTATGTATCTATGTACGTTTTGTACTAAAATCTACCAATTTGGTAATTTTACAATTACCTGGCAACACTGATCCATAACTGTCAAGTCTATGGAAAATTGCAAATATTTAGTACAGAATGTCTATAGTTTCTATTTTCAGAATAATTTTTTTTAATGTTATGTTGTATAGACGTTGTTTGTGTTACAAAAAATAATTTGTACTATTTTATTGTTATAAAAATTTACGTGGTTAAGTCCGAATAAAGTTTAAAACTTATTTATTTGATGTTGGCATTGTGTTTTCTGCAATATTATCTTTTTTTTTTATAAAAAGCCTTTTTTTAAATAATTAGTTTCATTTACCCTTTATCTTACAAGGAATCGTTCCAAATGTTTCTTTGAAAACCGTAATAAGGGATTTGTTAAATAAAACAACGCAAATGTACATTTTAATGTCACTTAGGTACAGTTTATTGACTCCAGCGTATGTACACCAACAGTATCTGCTTAGTCTGTAACGTTCGAGATCATCACGTGTACGTTTTTAGTCTGTGGCAGTAATCATTTTTTATACTATTGATTTCAAAATGGCGCGTGAACGATATGTCAAAATGAAAATACGCACAAATTAAACAAAGACAGCTTTTATTTAGCTTGACAATATTAATTTTATAAGTGTCAATAGCCAATAGGTTAAGGGTACGGATTTACGATCACGAATTCGGGTGTTCGAATTCCGCCATTCGACTATTGTCGTAAACCATATCCTAGCACAAGCATAGAGCTTAGTTGGAATGATACAAGAAATATTAGTAAATTTACAAAAAAAAATCTGCTAATATAGTCAAAAAAATCCTATTATTAGGAAGTTTTTAGTAAGTTTCATTTTTCCGGCAAATGCATTTCGGTCGCGCGCCATTTTTTCGCTGTTAAACAAACAATGATGTTTATAATCTGTGGTATTGTGTAACGAAAATAAACTCTACGAGCGATAAATCACTTTGCGGAAAAACTAGGAATTTGTGAAGCTAGGAGTGTTAATACATTAAGGATATACGTTTTAACTAAATATGTCTGCTCAATTATATTAAAATGTTTCAATTCACAGACAATAGATGTCACTGTAGAAACGTAGAACGCGATTTTAAAATGTTTAATGTCACTTTATTGTATTCTAAAAGTTAATTGACTTTAACGAGGCTAAGTGCCGTCTGCGCTCGGCCACCTCAAGCCCGGTGAAGCTGTAAATGCCACCTCAAGGCAAACAGTAATTACTCAGCCACAAAAAAAACTTTAACATTTGTAAAATCATTGGAAAATCAGCAAAAAGGTTTGATATTAAATTCAGTAGACATATATAGTAAAAACATTTCGATATAAATGTATTTCCATACGTACAAAGATCCTACAACATTTAATATTTTGAAAATTTACACTCTTTATATACGGATACATATAAATACACTTTTAAACCCATTATTCTACTAAAAGATTGACTTTCTTACACAAATATGACAACATAACCTCAAAATTTATGTATAAAAACGGCTAAACAACGCATATTTGTCCGGTGGCGGCACCGACTAGTTTCGAGTCCATCGAGGGCCCTTCATCAGGATGAGTTGTACTGGTATTATTTCGTGGACAAGGCCCTCAGCTCACTCACAGTGAGCCACCGGACGAATATACGTAAGTGTTTAGCCGTGTTTATATATCAGTTTAGTATAATGTCTCACGAAAGTTTGAATAATTTAATAACCTCAAAATTGTTTGCTGTTCGCATCCAATCTTTTAGTAAATAATTTGAAAACACACTGAAACATAAAAACAGCTAGATGATTAAGCACAAAGACAAAAGAAAACAAAATAATGATCACAAAAAATAATATAATTCGATATTTACAATATGAATGCTTTTAATTCTGCAACGTAATTTCAAATATTAGGGATGGTCGATGATTTGTTAGTAAATTTTTGTTAATTTCACATACTTTAATATTTTAATTTAGACCTTGAGACCTTGACATTTATCTAATACACACGATTTATCGAACATCGAAATTTATCGATAACTATCATGACATCGGACATCCCTAAATTAATGACGTGTAAAAAAATACCAAACGGTAGAAATAGCCACATAATCAAATCAAAGATCTTTATAAAACTAGTTTTAGGCAAAAAAAAAGTTACAAATACTGATTTACAATCAAGAAATACTTCGATGTACAAAAAAAATTGTCGAAATTTTTAAAAAGAAAATCATCTTTTGCACGGTATAAAAATTGGCGGGAATTCACGCGTCAAACGCAAACATTTAAAAAAGCTATAAACTAAGCTCATTTCACGTAATAGATAACCTAAAAAAAATACATATCAAAAGACAGCAAAATGTAAGTTTAGTTGCGTAAAAAGATCAAAAACACAGATTAATAAATACATTCTTTGATATTATTGAGACCAATATAAAATAAAATGGTATATATCAAAAAAAAAATTAGAAAAACCGACTAAAATTTGGTTAGTTTATATCAACTTTTAATTACTATAATTACATACTTGTATAAATATCACTAAAGATAATATTGGATAAAACTTATTTTTCTATACACATAGGCCCTTTTTAACGCGCCAAAAGAACTGTCAAACTGACAGTCAGAAGGAGACAGACATATCAGATACAGATAAGAAATTAAATGTCAACTATGACATTTAAAATACAGATTATAAATTTTCAAATGTTGCCATTATAAGGACCTATGTATATAATCTATAAATACTGGATTTCTTATATAAATGCGTATTCCGTGTGTAATGGAAAAAAAGCACCGGAAAACCTCAACAGAGGGTTTTTTAAGACGAAAAAAAAAATTGTATGTCGATAAAAGAAATGTTTTCGACATAAAATAGGCCGATTATGAGCCTTTTGGAATGATCTATCAGTCCTATACTTATGTACTATGTCGAATAACTAATGGTTATTTTATGACTACCCCACATGTACTTCTAACCTTAATGTTTTTATACTGTGATACATTTTTTTTTATTTAACTTCTCGTGTTGGGAAAAAGCGCTTAGTTACTAGTTTGGCTTATTACGCTTTTGCATTTGAAAAATAAGAAAAATATCCTTGGAATAAATTATGAAAGCAATTTTTATAACGCACATAAGTTTTAAGAAATATAATTTTTAAGGCCTTTTTTTTATCTTGAATATATTAAAAGCTGCTGTGAATAAGTTTTTTCATATAATTAGCGTTTCTTAATTTTTACAAAAATGTCCTTTTTTAATATAAAAAGAAATTTACTGAAAAAAAATCAAATCGTAAAAATATTAATATAGTAAAAAAAATCAGCATTTTTTGGAAGACTATTACTCTTAAAAAAATCCCCAACACGAGATGTAATACATTGTTACATACGTATTTCTATATAAAGTACATCTTATCATATAGTTTTTCGCATACGAGCGACGACAAAGGTAAAACCTGTTAAGGGATAGACACATCCTGTGTCTCTCGCAATCTCCATATCGATCAACACTATATCTTTAAAATATCTTGACTTCTAAATGAGTTATACATATGAATATATCAATACATTCACTATTTATATTTTTAAAAAATTAAAAATAATCGATTTTCATCAAATAATCGAAAAAAATCGATTATCGGAAAAATTATGTTGCCATAAAAAAAAATATCTTTTAAAATCTAAACAGTGAATGTATGATTAAAAATTCGTTACCTTATTATTAATACGCATTCGAATAAATATATTTCAAGTATAAAATTAAAAAAAAAACACAAGTCGCGTTTATGCTGGAATTAGTGCGCTAATTATTTAGGTGAGTTTTTCTTGTACAGAGTTAAATACTAAAAAAAATATCTAATTCATACTAACATAACATCTAACTCTAAAACATTCATTTTTGAACATGCTTTACTTATCACAAATAATTACTAATTAAGAAAACTCTGTATAAGAAAAAAAAATCCTAAACTTAAATAGACGTCCGTCAAATGTTGCCATGCTTCAGTAATATTGATGCTGGCAACACTAATACATCGTTAAATCACAATATACCATAAAAGGCAACGATGAACAATTATTTTAAATATACTAACATAATAATACAAAAAAGAAATACAATATGAGAAATTATACAAATAATTTCACGCAATGATAGAAATTTTTAATAAATTGTCTAAAAAAAGACGTCATTTTTGTCATGTTATTAATTGAATTACTAAATATTTATTTTAATTTGTTATTATAAAGAAAAAACATTACGATGTCATATTATTGCTGAAATTTTAATTAACAATCAAAAAAATATTTATTTTAATTCTTTCCTATTATTCGATATGGCATTAACACATTTCCATTTACATTTAAAAAAACAAATGTCAAAAATCATAGAGTATGCACTCGACTGTCAAAGTGACAGTTGACATATGTTCAAATTACATACAAAAAATGTAATATTAAAAAACAGATGATCTGTTTGTCTGTTTAATAACAAAATAAATGTTCACCGCTGTCCGGCAGACTAGTTTCACTCGGCGCGCGCCCCGACCTTACCTGCGCGCGAATTCCGCCTTCATTGCTGTAACAATAAGGTTCATTATTTGATAACACATCTTACTTGACTTAAAGAAATATGAAAGTGTTCATAATATTGCTATACTTATAAACATGTCTGTCTCTTTCTACTTAATAGAAATAGACAGGGATAACATGCTTAATAGAGAAGTCCAACACTAGTTATTTATCGTCGTCTCTTTTCATTGAATAGTGTTAAACAGAGATAGCTAACAGTTGCTGATATATCGTCTCTATCCTATCCATATAATTAGACAGAGATAGTCTACAAACTTTTATCTTTCTTCTGTCGTACTGGCCAGTAGCGTCCAAAATCAGTGCTGGAATACTGTAATCAGTAACTGGCGCCAATAACCTATAACAGTCTAGCACTACTGTCCTATTGTAAAGCATTATCGTCATCTCTCTCCTTTCAACATCTTTAGACAGAGATAGCACGAAACGATATTCTCATATGTCTCTTTCTCTTCAATAGTGTGTTAGACAGAGATAGCTATCGCGGTATCTCTCGTGTGTTAGATAGAGACAGAGTTACGTACCATCTAGTATCTCCTTCTTGATCTGGTTGAGCTGAGTGCGCATCTCGCGCAGCACGTCCTGCTTGAAGGCGTCCCACTCCGCCGCGGACACGCACCCGCCCTCGCCCCCGCCCCCGCCGTTCACCTGCTGTACATACATACATACATACATACATACATACACATCTTACTTATATTATAAACTAGCTAGATTTAGAAAAACTGAATTATTAGTCTATGTATTCTTCCGGACTATATACTTTATTTGTGTCAGATTTCATCGAGATCCATACATCCGTTCTGGAGATACATTCTAACATCCATCCATCCATTCACATTTATATCAGTAAGATGTTTGTTAAAAGGTATCTCCAGAACGTCTGTATGGATCTGACTGAAATTTGACATAGATGTAGAACATAGTCTGGACGAACACATAGACTAATATATTTTTTTTTAATATATGATATTTTAATTTATAATGAATACCTTAAGTATTGTCTCCTCGCTGGCAGAACCAAAGCGCTTACGTACTGAGCGCGGAGACTGCGGCGGCTGTTGGGGAGATTCTGAACTTGCTGAAATTATAAACATTTTTCATTATTATATTATATTATTTACCTATAAATATATACGCAATTGTTTAGAAATGACAATTTTTTCTTAACTCTGATTTAAACGTGCTGGGATATTAGACAAAGTGCAATCCATAGCGAACTTCAAAAATGTATTGAACTGACATGCGACAATCACGTGACTGATCTAAAGTTGTGGAAGTGGACTTTCCGGATGAGAGGATGCATGGGAAGAGAATATATATTTTTTTCTGTGCATCCTCTCCTCCGTCGATTAAAGTTAGGCAACGCATATACAATTGCGTATGTCTATGGGCAACGGTCACTTCGTTATTCAGCGATTTCAAGTGGCTGCACGCTCGTTTGCCACCTTGTATTATAATATAAAAAAAAAGTTATTGTCAGTTCTATACATTTTTGAAGTTGTTTCTTATTCTTTATTATCAGTGACAAAATGACAAAGTGTGAGAATCAAATAGGCACAAAATATTATGATCTATAGCCAGTCCATGTATAGAGGTCAGTGACCTTGTCAGTCTACAGCAGTGTATCCAATTTGCTTGTAGTAACAAATATAACAAGCAATTCGAGGACTACCCTCACATCTTTTCAACACAATATTAACATAGAACAAAACAACATTGACTGAAATTAATAAAAAAAAGCTATTCAGCGAAGCTTAGATCTGCAATATTAGAAATTTCAACTTAAACAGTAAATCATTTATTTACAAAAGAAATCAGTAGTACAAGAGTTACTACAGGTGCATTTAGTACTTGAAGTGACCCTAAGTGACCGTATAAAGACTGGCAATACTTACAGTGGGTTTCTGAGAACAAATTCTCCGTATAAAATATATGGTCATCTTTGTGTTGTCAAAGATGATGTCAGAGATGGCTATATGTTATTACAAAGTAGAGCACCAATAGCCCAATGGTTAAGGATACGGATTTCCGATCATGTGGTCGAGAGTTCGAATCCCGCCATTTGACTATTGTAAACAATGTTCTAGCACAAGTCTAGGGCTTAGAAATAGTACAAGAAATTAACAAATAAATTGCTAATATGTTACTAATATTATAAATGCGAATGTTTAGATGGATGTTTGTTTGAAGATATCTCCAGAACGGTTAAACGTATCTTAATGAAATTTGGCATACATATAGAAAACATAGTCTTAAAGAACACATAGATTACTAATTATGTTTTTAATAGCTAATTTAAAAAAAAACTTTGGTCTCAGAAACCTACGATTAGTGTTAAGTTAGCGTATAAAGCGCAAGTAATAATAAAAAGCATAACTCACGAGTGTTGCCATTACAAGCAGCAGGCAGGCGGTGCGGCAGAGTGGCGGATCTCTCCCATGTCTTCAGCGGAGTTGACGTCCCAGAGTTCTCTGCTGATGACTCCTGTACAAAAAAATCTTATTTTACTTATTTTTAAATATTACTAGCTGTCGCCCGCGGCACCGTCCGCGTGGATATATAAAAAAACTTAATATAGATAAGTTAAATAAAAAGCAGCTCTTCAAGGCATAAATTGGAAAAAAAATGAATAAATAGTATCCTATGTCAGTCTCCTGGCTCTAAGCTACCTCCTCAACAATTTTCAGTCATATCAGTAAAGCCGTTCTTGAGTTATAAATAGTGTAACTAACATGACTTTCTTTTATATATATAGATAAATTAGAATCCTTTGTCGCGAATGGCGCGCTTTCGTTACAAAGTCAAGTGTCAGAATGATTAGTGAGGGGACATAAACGTGGACATTTTAGTAAGGCTAGTGTTGCGCCAGTACACCGGCACAGTGTCGGATTTTCTTCCTAACATTACTATTATTATAAACTAGTTAGAGTTACAACTTCGTGCAAGGAATTAAAAAAATAGGTTTTGACAGATGAACAACAAAGTGATCTTATAAGGGTTCCGCTTTTTTCCTTTCGAGGTACAGAACCCTAAAAAGATAATTAGTAGTATATATAGATATAGAACATAAATTTGTCTATATATGTGACAAATTGCATCAAGACCCGTTCAACGACGATCCATTAGTAAGATACCGATGTATGGATGAATGTTAGAAGATATCTCCAGAATGGAGCATCTCGATGAAATTTGTCATAGATGTAGAACATCTAGAACACATAGGCAATTAACAATAAACAGGAACAATTAGGATTTTTTTAATCTAGGCGGACGTAGTTGCAAGCGACAGATACTTTATCGTAAGAAAAGTATGATTAAAAGGCTTTTAGCTACATTTAGGTAATAGTAGTCGTTCTTGACTTCATCAGTACAGATTAAAAAAAAGACAAGAAAAGTATCCTATAATATTTCCACGTCCATCAGCTACCTTCCAGTGAAAGTCCCGTCAAAATCGGTCCACCCGTTCCGGAGATCACCCGGAACAAACATACAGACAAGAATAAAAACATGGTTTTTCGTATATACATACAGACATAGTAATTTTATTTATATATATAAATGTATAAGTCTACCTCAGCTTTGTCTAGATGTGCACGGCGCCGTGCCAGCGTGCGCGCCATCTCGTGCATCATGCAGTGCAGCGTGCCTGCAGCACGACCTGACCCTGAGGAGGAGGAGGAGCCCGAGTGCTCCGCCCCACCACCAGCAGCTCCGCCTGCACCCGGCGGGGAGGAGTCCGTGCCACCAGGAGCAGCGGCTTGCTGAAATATACTCTTCCTTATTTATCTTATATCAAGGATACCGAAATAATGGCTCCTATTTTATTATTAGTTGTCAAGCAATCAAACGGCTACCTGGATTCGCTGAAATAGCGAAACCAGCGGGGTCAAACAAAGTGCCTTCGCTCCGAAGCGATTCCATAGCGAACTTCAAAAATGTATGGAACTGAGACGCGAAAATCACATGACTTATCGAAAATTATTGTCAGTTCTATACATTTTTGAAGTTCCTTATAGAATCGCTTTGGAGCAAATGCATTTTGTCTATCTCCATTAGTATATAGCGAATTATCGCTTTCCAAACATTTTCAATTGCAGAATTAAAAACGTATATGTCATATAATTAATAAGTAAAATAATCACCTTCGCCTGTCTCTTTAGCCTGGCCTGCTGCAGCTGCGCCGCGAACCCTGT